GGTTGCACAATTTTACAGAAAAGTTTTCTCAAAATGTCTCACAATAGTAATTCAGTAATAAAAAAATTTCTATAGATTTCCGTAAACTGTGTTTGGTTCAAAAAAATTTACAGAAATATTTTTTGTAAAGTATAAAAAAATACCAAAATTTACAGAAATCAATTTCCTCTCAAAATGGGCGAAAATCACCCAGAAATCTGACACCACATTGACATTTTTCTATAAAGTTGGTACTTTTCTATAAATTTAGGGGGTGTTTGGTTCAATTTCTACAAATTATAGGAAATCTAGTTATTTTCTATAAAGTTATGGGTCATTTTCTTGTTTTGAACTAAACAAGCAAAGTAAAAATAATAAGAAAATTAGTACTTTTTGACTTCTCAAAACGTTTTCTATAATTTTTTAAGAAATACAAGGAAATCATATTTTGGGTGGAAAACATTTCCTATAATTTGTAGAAATTGAACCAAACACCCCCTGGTTTAGAAATCATATCTACTATTTAAAGAAGGATCCAAGTTTTAATATATTTGAGTTGATTTACTATTTTATGATACAATAAATACTGTAGTATGAATAGTAACTTCAAGTATGGATGGACGGCTCTATTTACTTTAAACTACAGTAAGTTATTGTAGCATAAACATCACTTTGAGTGAAGAAGAGTACCATATTTTATTTATTGTTCATGCTACAAGATATATTACAGTAATTACTGTATTATGAACAGTGATTCTTTAGTTCTCCTTTTAGTATAGAGGAATAGATTTTTCATGGAAGGAAGTTAAAGCCATAACCATGTGAGCAAGATTTAATTTTCCACCCAAAATTATAATTTATCTTGCCCTATGTGGTCAGCAAAGGGAAGTATCCAGCAGTACTTGTTAAATGAGAAGCATCTCACAATACTTGTATCCTGTTGAATTTTGAACTCTATAACAAACCACATATCTTGATCATACCGTCTTTTTATAGGACAAGGAGAGGCTTCTCAGCGCATACTTTGAGCTACTTTTGGCCCACACTTGATCTGGAAATAAAAAGAGAAAAGCGTATGATCATCTTCTATATAAATCAATTCGATATTATTCCTTTCTCATAAAAAAAAAGTTCCTAATGAGGATGCAAATATGCAACAGAACACACAAATTATTAGTGGGCCGAACCTGAGGCTTATCTCTAGTAGTATATTTTCTTCTAGTAGTTGTTTGTGTACGTGCAATATGTGGTTAAATATCAAAATTATTTTTTTGTTTATTTTCTTACTATTAAATAAATCAGATTCCTTTTAAGTTAAAATCTATAAACATGGATTGTTACATTTGCTATAAATTTTATTTAATTTTTTTTAAAAAAAATTATGAAATAGATGATTATTTTCAAAATCTCTTGGGGCCAGGAAGAAATAACTAACAAGTTTGTAGTAGAAGATAAAAGAACATATTATATTCTTACGAATTATTAATCTTTACTTAGTTTGTTTATAATAAGGAGATCTCATTATTAATTAACTACTATGCTTAGTACATTATTTTTTATTAGATGTTCAAGACAGGCAGAGGACCCATGTGTGTCATCATCGTAATGAATGTTATACAATTTAAGTACAAAGAAAATATGAGGGTTGATCAATGACGTAGTTGGTGATGGGCTCCGAAAACTTAATTTGTTATGTGGATATATAATAGATAGAGATGAAGAATGGTGGTTTTGAAAACAGTGGGTGCGTGTGGGTTATTAATATGGTTTTTGTTTGTGTGCTTTTCTTTGTTGCCACTCTTTTGGTTATGTGGAAGAGTTTGGGTGTTAAAAAAATTAAATTATCTAATTCGGTTAAAGTAGGATTATATAAGTTAAGCCCATACATAAAATTTATTTTAACTAATACCCATGTGTAAAAATTACAATTGGCATTGAGATCTAAGATATGTGTGAGATTCTCTTTGATTTTTATACAAAAAAGTATCTATTTAAATAATAATTAGTATAATTAAACTTTATGATCTAAAAATCAAATATATAATATAAGTAATTATTTTAAAATAATCTAATCTAATCTAATACGAAGAAAATAGATGAAATGATGTGAAAATTGTTGCAATTTCATAATTCATAATTTTTAAACAATCTAATCCACTACTTATAAACTAAAGGAGAACAACAAAAAAGTTTTGATGAACAGTAAATCCTAGGTGGACTAATCAAAAGGAGTTAGTCATCCCCTCAAAAGGAGTGACGTTATTATTTCCCCTCTCTTCTAACTACCTCCCTTCCTGCATCTCTCCTATTGCCTCCCTCTCCTACTACCCACATTCTTCCCCTAATCGATTTCAAAATTCAAAAAGCCCCCCTCTCGAGACCCCCCTTAAACCCAGAAGCTTCTCCCCTAAATAACTTCCCTAGAAGTTTCTTCGTCTCCTCCCCTTTCCTTTTTCATGATTCCCTTAAACAAACCATAAACTTTCTTTGCCTCTCTCTCAATGGAAGTTCAAACCATACCAGCGAGGCGACGAGGATGCCACCTCTGACTCTGACTTCATCCTCGAAACCGTCAGGGGCGACGACAACGACAACGATGGCTTCAACCCCGATAACATCTACGATGCTGACAAAAGCATGGTAGATTTCTGTGATAGTTTTCTTCGAATCGAAAGGTAATTTCTTAGGGTCTAGGTTTATTCAACCGATGTTTGTAAAAATTACTTTTTTTCTTCGATCGCTTTCTTCATCCACCTCTGCTGCAGTTAAAAAAGAGATAGGGGCATCATCTTCGCCCTTTCCTCTTTCCCCAGCCTTAAAACTTACCCTTTGTTTTCCCCCAAATCGTCGTCTTTTCTCAGATTCCAATCTCAGACCCTTTGCAAGTTCAATCTTAGAAGTTCAGTACAGTGTGTCAGCAGCAGAACACCTCGTCTTGATTCATGTATCATAAATAAACTCTTATCCTCATCGAGCCATTGTTTTTGATTGATTTCTCCAATTATTGAGGGTTTTGATTTCTGGGTTTTTTCCAAATTGTGCTTAAAGGGGGGCATTTGCAGGTAATTGAACCCTAAAACATGAAATCAAAAGTTATC